GTCCCCGCCTCCCTAACCTGTCCTTCCTCCCACCTATCCCCTCCTCCCACCACAAGCCCCACCTCATCTCCTAGCTACTAACCTCATCCCGCCCCCTCGACCTGTCCGGCCTCCCTGGACTGCCCTATCTCCTCCCTACCTCCCCACCTACACTCACCTTTACTGGTTCCATCCCCGGCTCTTTGACCTGTCTGTCTCCTCTCCACCACCTATCTTCTCCTCTATCCATCTTCTATCCGCCTCCCCCTCTCTCCCTATTTATTTCAGAACCCCCTTCCCCTCCCCCATTTCTGAAGAAGGGTCTGGGCCCGAAATTTCAGCCTTCCTGCTCCTCTGATGCTGCTTGACCTGTGTTCATCGAGCTCTACACCTTGTTATCTTAAATAAATTGTTACTTGTTGACTGTAAAGTGAGTACCAGGGATTTATTTTATTTAACCACTAGAAGTTTCTGAAAGGCAGGTAACACCACTTTTCACACTCCTTTTACTGATTATAGGGCGAGGTGCTCCCCTTTGGGTGTTTCAGTTTTAATTCACAGAATGGGGGTCAACCTCTGCTTTATAACAGTTGTGACTACACCTGCATCTACCACCTCCTCTGGAAGTTCATTCCACACACAAACCACCCTGTGTGAAAATGTTCCCCATCAGGTCTCTTTTAAATCTTTCTCCTCTCACCTTAAGATTATGTCCCCTAGTTTTGAACTCCCCTACCCTAAGGAAAAGACCCTTGCTATTTATCTTATCTGTACTCTTCATGATTTTGTAATCCTCTATAAAGTCACCCTGCAACCTCTTACGCTCCAGTGAAAAAAGTCCCAGCCTATCTTTATGATTCAAACCCTGCATTCCTGGTAAATCTTTCCTCAGCCCTCCCCAGTTTAATAATATCATTCCTATAACAGGGTGACCGGAACTGCACAGAATACTTGGTTAACCTTCTTGGTTAATCAGGTTATTAGCACTCATTTTCACAAAAAGAACACACAACGTGATGATATTTAATATGTTCCACTTATGTGAAATAGTTGTGAAACAAGTCATAGCCAATGGGCTACATTTACATTATAAATCTACACACTTTCCTTAGCCTTACAAGTTATCAGCAATTCCTAAAGCAATGTGCATGATGCTCCTATATTCCCCAGGTATTTTTTAATCCTTGTTTTCATAATTATTTGTGCAATAAAAAGGGGAAGAAATTCCTTTAAAAGAACTTCCAACTCTTAAAAAAACTTTGTTAATTTATAGAATTGTATTTTAGTCTCTAAATGCAAAAAATAAATGTTATAAATAGTGGTTAATGTTATAAAGAAAGAGATTCCTTTCAGTTCTATGGTATCTCATTGACATTAGGTTGTAAATTGATCCTAGGACTCCCATATCATTAACAGTCATTTTAAACTTTCAACTTAAATTCTACACAGTAAGCAGGCCATTCCACAATTTCATCCCTCAGGTTGGCTAAAAATTTTAAAAAATTATAAAAAAGTTGAAAATGAATCTTAAGAAAAAGGAAACCAATGCAAGATGTAATAAAATTCCAAAGTCATTTTATAGTTTATAACAAGTCTGCAAGAAGTTCAGCTTACTTACAATTGTATGTGTATGTTCTCAAAATAAATAATCTCATGTAATTTATTCAATTCGTCACCTTCCCACTATCAGAACTGTGCCAACAGCTCAGTAAATTATATTGATGAATTACAACAAATTTGGAAATACACAAAAGATCACCAAAATTAAATCTAAGAAGTCAAAATGTAGCTACAGCCTGTCACCGTATCCCAACAAATTTATGTAATAAGCAAACGAGGCATACAAACTCAAGAGTCCCAAATTCAATTCCCACTTTGCACTGCTGTTAGACACATCGATGGGGTTAATCGTAGAATCCCACCAGTGTATAAGGAGGTCATTTGGCCCATCGAGTCCACTTCGACCCTCTGAACAGAATCCCACCCAGACCCACCCTTCTACCCTATCCCCGTAACCCTGCATTTCCCAAGGTTAATTCACCTAATCTGGATATTATGGGCAATTTAGCATGGTCAATACTCCTAACCTGCACATTTTTGGACTGTGGAGGAAACAGGAGCACCCGGGGGAAACCCATCCAGACATGTGAGAATGTGCAAACTCCACACAGACGGTCACCTGAGGCTGAAATCAAACCCCTCCCTGGCACTGTGAGGCAACAGTGCTAACCACTGAACCACCATGCCAAGATGCTACATTCAGCCTCAGTGCCACAAGTGCAAAATCAGCTAAACTATCTAATCTGGAGAAAGATAGGATTGGGTATTAATGGTCTCCACTGTTGAACTGCCTTTGAATACCCAACATGAAGGCACATGTAAAATTCCTAGCAGGAAACAATACAGCAAACCAGCAATCACCATTCAATAGAAAAAAAAATCACAAAAGGACAGAAAAATTCCATTGAAAACTCTGTTTCCACCTCTCAGCTTTTGCAAATAGAGTGTTTTCAGTTCAGTTGAACAGTTTTAGCAAGGCTAAAATGTAAATATTAAACAGTTATGTAGACTAAACATGCTCACCAAGATGCCTCTGTTGTTCAAGCGTAACCCAGTGATTTCAAACCAGCACCTCTTGACAGCTAGCTACTTTTGACAGGTCTGGAAACGGTGAATGTGGTCGAATCAAATTCCAGGAAAAAGATGTTCTAAAGAAGAGTCTTACTAAACTCAAAACGTAACTCTCTCTCTCCACAGATGCTGTCAGACCGGAGTTTCTACAGTATCACCTGTTTTTATTTCAGATTTCTAGCATCAGTGGCAGCTTGCTGTTATTCCAGGAAAAAAGGCTTTTTGGCTAGCATTTATTGAAAATTGATTGCACCATTACTGTGGCCATAATAGACAGCGTTTCAGTAAACTCAATACATTTTCAGGTATTGGTATTTCCATTCCCCATGCGTCAAATCTTGCTTATATTTTAAGAGTATACCAGAAAACATCCGGCTCAAACAAATGTTCCACGCTCAGAAAACCAAGCAGGTTTGCACAATCAGATCAATTTGAGTAAAGCACGTCACGTAACCTTTTCGTGGGTCTATGCAGCATAATTTCTACCAGGTTTTGAGTCAGATGCAGTGACACATCACAGCACCCTGGACGAATCCCAATCATTTCTCATTTGCATTTAGCACAACGTTCTGCTCTGTCTTCGAAATTGTCACGGGACTCAACACAGCAGTTAGACCAGCCAGCCTTTAAAAGGTCAGCAATATGCAACGACACATATAGTGTGGAGTAAATATTTAAAAGAGTTGCACATTTGATTGCAAGCAAATAAAGCATTTTAGAGGGCGGAATATATCATTGATCGTACTTGCACAGACGCCACCTTTCAGTAGCTGGGTGGCTGGACGCTTTCAGCGGCGGGGCCTAACACTCCTCGGTTTTGCCAAGGAGACGCAACCGCCAACCCATGCGCACGGCCGCCCACACTACCTCACCTGAGCTCAGGCCGCTGGTGACGTAACTGAGCGATGAACGGTTAGCCGCGCGCGAGGCAAAGAATAAACCGCCGTAAGCCTGGGCCGGCGCGAGCGTCATTTCCCGGACCGTTCGGTTACTGGAAAGGACAAAGGAAGGGCAAGCGGTTGTGTAAGAGCATCGGCGGCGGGCGGGTAACACCGAGTCAGGCCTTTGCTGAGCCCTTTCCTTTGAAAGTGAATTAACAGCACGCTCTCAAAAAAAAATCAGCCTTTCTGTTCAGATATGGCACTACATACCCCCGGAGCAAGTTGGACTTAAACCCCAGTCTCCTGGTTCAACAATAGGGATACAACTGCTATGCCAAAAGAACCCATACCCTTTCTGTCACTCACCTCTCAAGGCTTAATTCAAGGTATTTTTAATCAACCTGTCAAAACAAAACTGCTGGAGCAAGTGAGCCTTGAACCTACATCCACCTGGCTGAGAAACTGCCACTGCACCATAAGAACTGTAACATTTTCTGTGATTCACTACTCAACACAATTCAAGATGGAATAACCTAATTGGCAGTAACTAGCTGATACTTGTTACAAACAAAACCAGAAATTGCTGGAGAAACTCAGCAGGTCTGGCGGTATCCATGAAGAAGAAGCAGAGTTAACATTTCAAGTCCAGTGGCCCATCTTTAGAACTGATAGTAGCAAGGAAAATGTGATATATATGCTGAAGATGAGTTGGGAGAAGGAGTAAGCAGATAGGCAGCAATGGAGCCAAAAGAGAGACAGCTAGGTGGACGAAGGGATGGATAATGGTAAGCCAGAGAGAAAGAAAAGCTGATAATGGGGATCATAAATAGGTAAAAATGGGTTGGCTGTGCTGAAAGCAACCCACGTCATGACAGGGCCTGAGTTGTGATGGTGAATAAGGGATGTAAAAGATCATTTTCTACAATTTATTGAACTCAACATTGAGTCCTGAAGGCTGCAGTGTCCCCAAGTGGAAAATATTTATTGATCATGGCTATTATTTATTACTATTTTCAAATGGCTGTTGCAATTACTGCCTTTTGAAATAAAGGCTTTAGGAATGAGGAATAAAATGAAATCAAACTGGAGTCACAAGACTGAATTACATTTATTTCTTCAGGACAAATGATTAGGCTTATGACTTACTGAAAATGAAAAGTTAATGATTTTGCCCAAATATCTTTAATTTTCTAGCTATTAATTAATAAGCTGATTACATATTCTTTCATGACAAGGCTAAAATTTATTACTTATCCATCCCTGCCCTTGATTGACTTGCTTATTCAACCATTTCAGTGGATGAAATCAGCCAATCACATTGCTGTGAGTCAGGAATCTCTTGTAGGCCAGATCAAGAAGTTATGGCAGATTTCTTTCCCACATGACATTAATGAATCAGATTAGTTTTTACGACAATTGAGAGTCATCTAGTTCTAGAATTAATTTATTCAAATTTAAATTCTATCAGCTACCATGGTGAAATTTGAGTCAATTTCCCCAAAGCATTAGCAGACATTGGACTAGTCTATAAAACTATGAAACTGCCTTTGACTTGAGGGGTTGTAGTAGCTCAAGAAGCCCAGCTGGAAAGGAACTTTATTGTTAAACACCAAAATAAAGCCACTAGTCATGGTGTAATAGGTTTCCAGCCCAGGAAAGACAGTTTTGCAGATCTATCCATGGTTCAGCTTTATTTTTTCTATATTATACCCAGAAGTGCTCTCACACACAACTGAGTGACTGTTCCACCACCAAAATCACCGTGACTTTGTTTGCTTTGTTTTGTTTTGTTTTAAACAACTAACCATCGCCAGTAAAAACACCCATGCAGCCAATGAAATATCTACATGCAAAAACCCATTAAGGGCAATGCATAGCATCAAAAATGAAAGGGAAGTAAGGAGAGATGGAAAGGGCTAAGTCAGAATGGAATTGGGAGAGGAGATAAAGCACTGTATTCCCTCACAACTGGGTCTGCTATTCTATAAAGGAATCAGAGACAAATTTAGTTTTGAGTTGAGGTCAGATGAATTTTTTTTTATTCATTAACAAGATACGGTCTTGTGTCTTGGAGTCAACCACATTGCTATGGGTTGGAGTGACACAGAGGGGACCCCATAGGGTCAACCCCATATACACTCCACTACGAAGGAAAACCGGAAGTGAGGCAGTCCAGCTCAACGGACTCCAGAGTTTAAAAACCAGGCGGGAAAACACACCGACGCTTCATCGGAGGCTGCACTGATGATGTTACCCAGCATGGTAACGAAACATCTGTGGAACAACAAACCAGCTCAGTGAGCCAACCAACCTCAACACCCACAACCCGAACTACAAATCTACTCTAAAACCTTATCTCCTATACTCAATGCACTGACCAATAAAGGCAAGCATACCAAATGTCTTCTTCACTATCCTATCTACCTGCACTCCAAGGTCTCTGTTCAACAACACTCCCCAGGACCTTACCATTAAGTGTATAAGTCCTGCCCTGATTTGCCTTTCCAAAATGCAGCACCTCACATTTATCTAAATTAAACTCCATCTGCCACTCCTCAGCCCATTGGCCCATCTGATCAAGATCCTATTGTAGTCTGAAGTAACCTCCTTCACTGTCCACTACACCTCCAATTTTGGTGTCATTTGCAAACTTACTAACCGTATCTCCTATGTTCACATCCAAATCATTTATATAGATGACAAAAAGCAGTGGGCCCAGCATCGATCCGTATGGCACACCGCTGGTCAGAGGCCTCTAGTCTGAATAGCAACCCTCCACCACCACCCTCTATCTTCTTTCTTTGAGCCATATAGGCCAGATGTTCTTTTACTAAAGAACATTAGTGAACTAGATGGGTTTGGGTCTGCTTTTTAAAAAATATATATATACTATTTTGCTAATCAACCTTTTCTAAGATGTTATTACCCACCTTTGGACTGGTGGGACTTGAACCTAGGCCTCCTAGTTCAAGGGTTAGGGATACTCTCACTGCGCCTGAAAAGGGTCCTTGGGTCTGCTTTTCCAAAAAAAAATTGTATTAACCTATTTTTCTAATCAGCCTGTTCAGAGATGTTATTACACATCTCTGGAGCAGGTGGGACTTGAACTGTCCCAGTGCAGGGGTAAAGACACTACCACTGTGCCACAAGAGGGATAAGGGCTCAGGTGATGAGTTCCAGGTGGGCAGGCCGTTGCCTGTTGCCAAAAGAATTCATACTCAACGAGCTCCACAGGGAGATTAATTCATGATTTCCCCAGGGGCCTTGTAGAGGTTATGACAAGGGGTTTGACTGATTTCCTAATATAAAATATAATATGGCATAGGTTACCTCAATATTTGATTTATTAAAGGTAACTGGTCTCTCTGTAGGCAAGAACCTCACTTTCAAATAAGTAAATTGACATTGTAAGGGTGCTGTGGGTAAAGGAAGTTCAATGTCAGGAAGGATCAGTGATGGGCAGTGGCTGCAAGACAGAGAGTTGGTCGTGAGAGAAGTGGTTAGGGAGCAGGAGAAGCGTGCAACTGGAAGGACAATGAGATTAAGGGCTCACAACAATCAGAAAGGTCAGAAAGCAAGATGTGAGGAAAGTGGAAAGTATTAGAAGAGGAAAATGACCATAATTCTTTTAGATTTTTAAAAATTTATAAGTTGTTTAATTTACCAAGTTAGGAATTTTACACTGTCAGTATTTGACTCTTAGGATATAATGTTTTATGCAAGCAGTATGCTGTGGATGCTGGTAATCTGAAATAAAAATTGAAAATGCTGCAGAAACTCAACAGATCTGGCAGCATCTGTAGAGAGAGAAACAGTGTTCATGTTTCGCGTCTAATATGATTCTTCCTCAGAAATACTCAGAAATTTTTAATACTTTCTCTCCTACACAACGGAACGACAGATTTAACATTGGTTTTAATGGGAAAGTATGATTCAATTAAAGTTGTTTCAATTGAAGTCCTGAGGTTCACTGTACTGTGAAATAGTGCCATCTAGTTGTAAGAACCAGTATTTCATTAAGAGATTGTCATGCCAGCGTAGATGGTATTTGCGCATGGGACCCTGTGGAATCCCCATCATAGCACCCGTAGCACATTCAGAAGAATTTGCCTGGGAAATTGAATTTTCCACTGGGCAATTCTTCTATGTCTGGAATTCTTTGAGAGTCTCCATTTAAATCATAATCATCAGGAAAATTTGGACTATTGAATACATAGTCGAACTCCCATATAACAATTAATCTGACCCGTATTTACCTCATAGACTTCCAACAATATCTCCCCCAGACCCCTTACACCCCTGACCCAAACCCCCCTCAGGACCTTACCACCCCCAGTCCCAGGCACTAGACCAGACACCCACCCTCCACTAGACATGACCGAACTACCCATAATGCTAAACTGGATAGAACCTGTTGCAACTAGATACAACTTGACAGCCCCTCCCCCGTTGACCTAGCCCAATACAAACCCTCCCTCCACACTCACACCAAGAGACCTAATTTCTCCGATTTGCCCAAAGCATTACTTCACTTACCAGGCACCCTGGCCCTTTCCATCCTTCCCACTTGCCATCTTACACA